AAAACAAACATATGTATATCTATGCATGACTGGGACACTGTGCTGCACACCAGAAACTGACACATTGTAACTGACTGTACTTCAATATTAAAAAAAACTTATTGGTGATATTAGCCTTGTCCCTGGTAATTATCTCTATACAGAGGAAACTGGGGATCAATAAACCAAGGAACTTTGTGAGGCAAGTCACCATTATGAGGCTCCTGGAGGAAACGGGGCAGACATCTTTCTGAAATGAGGTCCTGTCTTCCACGGGTAGGGCCAACACCACCCTCGTCTCATCAGTAAGGATGAGGTTGGTAGAAACGGAAGCTGGGAAAGAAAGGCCGTCCTGAACACTTGTGCCTCCCGAAGAAAGCACGTTTCTGGAACTGGTGAGCAAGAGAGAATCACGTGGCTCAGGCACGTCATCATTTTAGCAAAACAGAAACTAGACTCTGCCTTGTAGAGGGTGGGAATTTTTTCCTTCACATAAATATTAAACATTATTACCAACTTCAAATATGTCTATGCCTCTGTCAACCCAGCCGCTAGGGGTCGAGTCAGAGGGGGCTACAAAGCAGGAAGGGGCACAGATATGAGCCCCCATCAGCCTTGGGAAAGGTCATGAGGGAAGGTTGGCAGTGTCAAACAGGGAACTTTACAGTGAAAATGGAGCAGGAGGGGCCTCCAAGGAAGAGATCACACCCCAAGCACTTGACTGTTAGTGACGGGGCCGGGTGCCCTGTTCATGCAGCTGTGAACGCCTTACCCCCTGGCCTCTGGGGACCTGTGCTGGGGCCACTGGGGGTAAGAGGTGAGAGGGAAGGCGGCAGAGTCTTTGTGCCACATCAGATCTCCATCAACATGCAACTCCAAAAGATCGGGACCGTGAGAGCTTTGCAAATCAACTCTTAGGGTGCTTGCTCCAGGGCAAAGAGCACAACAAATTAATCCTTTCTCCATGAAATGCAGCCAACTTTGCATCTACGCGGAATTCAAATTGCTTATTATCTCTGACATGTTCCTAATGAGGTTACAATGCTCTGGGACAGAGATCAAGTCACTGAACACAAATAGCTGGGGATGGAATCCTGGAAAGATAAAGTCAGAAGGACCTGAGAGCTGTGCTTCTAACCCTGGAATATAAATCACCTGGGGCGGGGGTTCTGCTGCAGGACTTCTGTGGTGAGTCTGCGGGGCCTCAGAGATCATCTCCCTGGGGGTGAGGACACGAGGGCCGAGGCACTTCTCCTTGGAAGTGTGCTGAGACTTCCCTCGGGCTAATTTGGGGTAGCTGAGCATTTGTCCTAGACCTGTGAATCAACCTGGAAATTCTAAAATAGAAACATAGGGAACAGGGTAACCAACCATCCTGGTTTTCTCAAGACTGAAGGGTTTCTGGGACATGAGATGTTCTATTTTAAAACCAGGAAAATTTCAGGCAAATCCAGGCAACTTTTTCACCCTAGTAGGAGTATTTTTTTTAATTGAAGTACAGTCAGTTACAATGTGTCAATCTCTGGTGTACGGCACAATGTCCCAGTCATGCATAAACATACATACATTCATTTTCATATTTTTTCCATTAAAGGTTATTACAAGATACTGAACATAGTTCCCTGTGTTCTACAAAAGAAAGATTTTTTTGATCTATTTTTATATATAGTGGCTAACACTTGTAAATCTCAAACTCCCAAATTTATTCCCTCCCACCCCCTCTCCCCAGTAACCATAAGATTGTTTACTAAGTCTGCAAGGAGTATTTTGAGTCTACTTAGAATATAGTATCAGATTATTATCTTTTTGACCTTGACAGTCCCTGAGTGCTGGGATCATGACCTGCTGCCAAGGTAAGGACCTTTTCCTACCACATCCTGAAGCTCTCCAAGAAAAGAAGCTTAGACAAGGTCACATCCGGACAGCCTTCTAACACCACTAAGGGCTGCTCTAAGAGACCATCTCCCAGCAAGTCCCCAAGGAAGGCATAAAAAAAGGAGTATCTAGAATACAGAGAAATCAATATCATACAAGCACAGAATGTTCTTTTTAACTACACAGGTCTATTTTGATTTTCTTCATTCAAAAAATGCTTGTAAGAAATAAATGACTACCTTTTATGAATCTCAACATGCTCATTATAAACATGTTTGCTAAAATCACTACAAGAATAAAACTCAGGATGCATCCCTGAGAATGAAAAGTAAATAAATAAGTCATACTCCACACAATCAAACTGCTTAGAAATGAAAACATATCCTTCCGCGCTGTTATTTCACTCACTGGAATTGGGCCCATTAACATTAGTTAGAATAATGAACAGTCTGGAAAGCAAAAATGGAACACTTTGAGATGATTCAGTGCTAGTAGAGTCTTGCTAAGGCGTCTGAAACGGAATGTCTAGCCACTGGTGCCATGTGCATCCCGAATGCAGGCTTAATACAGTCCTGACCACACTGACTCACTCACTCTCTGGCATTTCTCTGTTCAAATAAGATGCCAGCATGGTCTCGCTGAAGCAGTTGACTTAACAGTCATGCAGTTAGGGACACTTAAAAACCAAGGAAGGAAAGAAGTGTGGCTAACAGATACAATGCATTTGAAACAGGTGAGAGATAGAACCCTAGACACTCAGTAACCATTACCTAGAAATTAAAGAGGGCAGAAGCAATCCTATTACACATTATAAACAGCCCAGCTGCTAACTCAGTGGTAGTTTGAGTAGCATAACCATGGAGTCCTTGCTCCCGTATTAACAGGAAGCATATTGCATGGATCCAGTAGCTCATGAAATTAACAAGGAAAATGAACTGGGTGAAGCGACTTTGCTTCCCTGGAGAATTGTGTCCCTGGAGCATACGGAATGCTTAGAGAGAGCTTGTGGAGAGTACATGCACATAAATGAGGATGGACATTTTGGAATTTTTTAATAATACTCAATTTAAATATAGTTCTGCTTTTTGCAAGTCTTTTCAAGAGGAAGCTATTAACTCGAAATGTCAATGAGAGGTCAAGCGCCACGAGATCTGGTCCAGCGTTCTGGAAAGTTCGCTGCAATTTGAATCAACCTAAAATGACCATACACTGAGGATGTGACAGCTGTCAAAATTATTCCCACTTCACTGTCGTAGAACTGAACACTTCAAACAGAATCTGGGAAACAGTTTCCCTTCCACCGATATCAATAGACTGAATGATAGATATATGCACACCCGTTGACAAGCCAAAATGTAGAATTAATTCAACTTACAAGCCAATAGACATCCGATGAAAGCGCACGTTTTCCTCACAGACGCTGCCGTGGACCAGCTGACTGAAGCTGTCACTGACCAAACAAGAAGCTGAAAGGGTTTCCATGGAAGCAAGAACGTGACGTCCATTTTTCCCGGTCAGAGACCCATCCAAGTCTTCCAAAACTGCTGCATGAGGAAATGGAAATGCTACTGCGTTTGGAGAGTTGGTAAACTTCAGCTGGCTGGTCTTCACGGTAAACCCACCTATCAACGGCAAGAAAGGCGGTTTCACAATGGCAGGAAAGACTGCTGTCACGAATGGCAACTGAAGTCACTGGGGTGTTCTCAGTACTTTGAATCGCATGTTTACACCGCTTTATAATGTACTCATTTAGACAAGAAAAAGAACATATCCTGAGCGTTGCCTGCGGCCAGGCTCTGTGGGACGTGCTGGGGACAGAAGGAAACAAAGAGCCGCAGAGGCACTGCCTTCATGTGGCCTGTATTCCAGGGCAGTCATTCCCCGCCAGGGCTGGGTTTGCCCTCCAGGGGGCATTTGGCGTCATCTGCCATCTCTTTTGGCTGTCACGCCTGGGTGGTTGGCAGTGCCACGGGCATGTGGTGCTGTTAACCGTTCTACAACACTCAGGACAGTCTAGTGGGAACTAGAGACACAGAACATCAATTTACTAATTACCAACCACTAAAGGTGCTGTGGGTTAGTCTTTGCATCCCTCTGCTCCAGTTCTTTGATGGCAGATCTAACCCCACCTCTTATGAGATTTATACTTTAAATATTTACCCTCAAAAGCAATATTTGATCAATCAGGTGGGCAAATAGTAACAGTAACAGATTTTTTTAAGCATTAGCTCCGAGGCTACACTTAGCAGTGTTGCCCTCACACAACCTCCACGTGATTCATCAGGACAGCAGCCAGTCCAGTCGGCTGGGAAGAAGCTGCAGCAGTGGTCTAACAATACCCACATCCCGTCATTAACATTTAAAACTTCAGTACCCATCTCATAGTATACATGCTACCATAGTGCTGTATTACATATATATACATGATAAAAGGCACACACACACAAAAAAAATCTAAAAATAAGATACAAACAAAGAGGGATGCTAATGCTTTCATCCTGCATTCCACCAAGGTCCATGTAGTGAACTGTCAGTGCAGCCAAGGTGCCATGATACCACCCGCTGTGACTTCTGTAGTTCATCTAATGCCACAAGCAGCTCTACAACTCAGCCCTATTGGACCTCTTTGCAATTCCCCAAACATGACTCACTTTTTGGAGTTTTCTTTTGCATACATTTCTCTGCCTCTTCCCCTTTGCAAACTCCTATTCACCATTCTAAACCCTGCTCAAGTCATTCTATCATGAGATCTTACCTGACCCCTTTCCTCGCTCCCCCCACTGACCTGGTTCAATCCTACAGTATCAGATGCATCACACTATTACATTCACTGGCTTAGACGTTAATTTTTGCTCCTAGGTGGAGAGCACCTGGCAGACGAGAACTATGTGTATTTCATCTCTGTACCACTCAGTTCCTTAAACAGAACCGGAAATAGACATTTTTTTTAAATAAAGGAAAGAGACGGCTTAGCCAAGATCATCCAGTGAGAAGAGATTAGAGCTCATAAGAAGTAGTGTGCTTTCTTTTTCAGGGTCTTATGAACGATATGAAACAGTGAAGCTATTAAATAGCTGAGGAATTATCATTCGAAATGACTGCCATAAGGCATTTTTATTCCTATTATGACTTCTACAATCTTAAACTCAGATGCCACCCAAATAAAAACAATCTTTGGCTCTATGTATATGGGGAGGGGAGCACAGTGGAGACTTGCTGATTATTCATTTAATTGAAAAAAAACAAACAATTATCTAGGTTGGTGATTCAAACCACAAGAGCGTATTTACTTGAATTACTTGGTTTGTCTGTTTACAAAGATCAAATCAAATAGATTGCTCTCTCCATCTTTTCACCTTGGCCCATGAGTTCTCCAAGGTAATTCTCACCACCTCTGAGATATGGTTAATAAGTGAACAAGAATTCCTATGGTGTCTCTGTGAGTACAGCAAGCCTTGGGCTGTTACAAATATAAAGTACTTGACCTCTGGCTCTTTCAGGAAAGCTTACATGTGTGTAAGTTTATATCCATATGTCTATCCATCCAATTCCATTCATTAATTTAATGAACAAACCTACTGGGCACCAGATTACACATAATAAAACTCTGAGCAAAAGAGGTGTGACCAGATATTGAGAACAAAACAGTGGCTACCAGTGGGGAGAGGGAAAGCAGAGGTGCGAGATAGGGGTAGGGGCTTACAAGGTACAACCTACTGTGTATAAAATAAATAAGCTGCAAGGACATGTTGTACAGGGAACCATCGCTAATATTTTATAATAACTTTAAATGGCGTGCAATCCATAAAAATATTGAACCACTATACTGTACACCTGAAGCTAATACAATATTGTAAATCAACTCTACATCAATTAAAAGGAGAGATGTGATGCCTGTCTTTAAGAAGCTCAGGGCCCAGCAGAGACACGGCACCGTACTGATACAGGGTGACAGATCCATTTGGGAAAAGGATGTGCGGCTGCAGGGGCCACAGTGAGAGCACCTGGCCTCCTCTCGGATTTCTTCTAGGAGACTGGAGCCGCAATTTCTACTGATGCAATCTTACAGCTGAAAGAAATAATGAACCACAATGGCTGGCCACTATTTACCACATTTACATGAGTACTTATTCACTATCTGTCTTATCCACTCAAACAACTCACCCTGTCCTCGGGAACAGCCCGAACAGGTCCTGACGGCCACACAGTCAGTGAGATCAAAATTCACAAACGTTGTGTTAGATACTCTCAGTTCCCGCCTTCTGGGAGTTTTGATCCCAGCTGACATACACTGGCTTCCCTGTGATTTAGAAGTGGGGTGGGGGGAATGGAAAAAAAATGAGGCCTGGCCACATGAAACACAATTTTCAGGGGGGAATGGAAAAAAAATGAGGCCTGGCCACATAAAACACAATTTTCATACATGAATAAAACAGTTAAGTGAGTAAACAGGAAAGCTACAGACTGGGAGAAAATTGCAAATCAAACATACAGCAAAGGATCACAATAAGGTATGTTACACACCAATTGGATGGTTGAATAAAAATCAGTGATGGTACCAAGTGCTGATGAGGAAAAGAAATGAGTGAAACCCTCACACTGGCTGGTGGGAATGCAGAATGGTACAACCACTTCAGTAAGTGGTTTGGCAGTTTCACACAAAGTTAAACACACTCCTACCACTGACCTAGCCACTCATCCCTTAGAGAAGTGAAAACTTATGCTCATACAAAAACCTTACACAAGTGGTTACACCAGTTCTGGTTGCCATCAATCAGCAAATCTGGAAACAACTCAAATGTCCTTCAACAAATGAGTAGACAGACAAACTGTGGTACATCCACATGGTAGAATACTGGCCCCCAATAGTAAGGAATAAAATACTGTCTCTTGCAACAAGTTAGATACATCCCAAAGGCATTTGGGAGTGAGAAAAGCCAGTCTCAAAAGGTTACACACTAACTGATTCCATTTCTATAATTGTCGAAAAGGAAAAACTGTAGTGACAGAGAATAGACTGGTGACCCCCAGGGGTTAGACATGATGCGAGGATGTGGCGGCCGCAGAGATGGAGCCAGAGAGGGGTTTCTTCAGGTTGATGTGACTGTTCTGTATCTTGATTGTGGTGGCGATGATTATGCCAATCCACACATGTGTTAAAATTTATAGAATTTTCCATCAAAAAAGCCCATTTTATTGTATGTTACCATAAAAAACAAATATGAAAAAGTCTAAAAAGAAACAGAAACTGCTTCCAGGATTTTCCACAAAATCTTTTCAGCAGAAAAGTCCATCTAATCAAGCTGTTAGTCAATCACTGTTCCACTGTTAAAAATATGATATGTCTGAGGATCACCAGAAATTCATCAAGGGTGTCCAACAGTAATAAAAAGAAAAAAACAGGAGAAAAGAAACTCAATGGAGACAAAGCCAGTATAGAAATCAGAAGAAAACTTAAGCACTATCATTAAGAACATATAAGATGAATAAAAGAAATAAAAATATAGATAAAAGAAATAAAAATATTATGTGCATGAAACAAGTAGAAGCCTTAAAAGCAATTTTTCAGAAAAGAAAAATGAACAAAAGCAGGAGAGCAGAAATAATCAATTCAATAGAAAAACTGAAATATCCGAGAAAGTATAACAAAAAGGCCGTGGGCAAATCAGAGAGAAAATTAAGTTTAGAAAAATAATTCAGGAGATTCAATATTCAATTAATCACAATTTCAAGAAAGATGAAAATCCAGAAGAGATAATTATCAAAGAAATAAGTGAAGAAAACTTCCCTGAAGGGAAGGATATGATTTTTTTTTCCCAGACTTTAAAGTCCTGCTTGGTGCCTAACATAGTGTTTAGAAGAAAAAGCCACAGCATGGTATATATTAAAATTGCAAGATACCAGGAACAAGGATGAGATCCTAAAAGTCCCCAAAGAGGAAAAACTAAAAGGTTACACCTAAGAGACCTAGAATCAGGGCACCCTGACACTATTTAATCTCAAGAATAGACACACTACCTTCAACTTGTCAAGGCCAAATGAACCCCAGTCTAGTAGTCTATGGCCAACAACCTGCCAAGATGGGGGTCTTCATTTGTAAGTCAAAATCTTTACCTCCCATAGATCGCCCCCGGCTCCCCCCCACCACCATTAGTTCAGAAAGTTATTATAGGCTATGCTCTAATAAAATGAGAATTAAATCAGAAAGGAGGAATACAGGAGAATCAGAAGCAAGAGTTCCAATACCAGGGAGACAGAAGGAAAACCTTCAAAATGTTGGTCAAGAGAAATTCCAAGACCTCACTGTGCAACCCTTCTCGCATACTGCTGGTGCAAGTTTAAACACCTGAAATTGTTTTTTGGCATCACCCACTAAAGCTGAAGGGCTATCCTCTGAGCCAGCAGCTTAACAATCTGCCACTTATTCAACAGAAATGCATGCACACGAACACCAAGAGGCATAGAGGACAGTGTTCATCACAGCTTTCTCTGTAATAACCCAAAACTGCAAACAAACAAATGCCCATCCACAGCAACATGGCTTTAAAAAGTTGTGGTACAGCCTATAAAATGGAATAGTATGTAACAACTGGAAGAATAAGTTATTGCCACATATAAAAACATGGATGAATCTCACAGACGTCATGTGCGAAAGAACAGTTACACGCTTTATGATTCCATGCATGTAAAGTTCAAAAACAGATCTGAAATTAACCTATGTCTGAGAAGTCTGAATAATGGTTCCCCTGTGGTTGGGGGGCTGGGCTTGGGTTCACTGGGAGCAGACATGAAGGGGGTTTCAGAGGAACTGGTGACATTCTATTTTTAGAGCTGGGTGGTAGGCACGTGGGTTTTGCTTTATAAAAATCCACTGAGCTCTTCACTTGTGACTTGTGCATTTTTCTCTATAAATATTATATTTCTGGGAAACATTTGTTTTAAAAGGTAGAACAAATACTAGAGAAAAGTAATATACAAGAGGAGAGGATGAAGAAAGAAATTAAAGAAGTTTAAGGTCCTTGCGTGACTCAGGTGAAGTTTAACGGTGCTGATGTAACTGAGATTTCATGAAAGCGAACAGGCATGTCACAAATCTAAGTCCAAGGACTTAAATAGTCATAACAGAATAAAAACTTTCCAATGAGTAAACAAAAAAGATAGTATTCAAGGCAGGACAAATCAAGTTCGGAATGTAAGAGAAAAAAAGAAGCAAAGGAAACTGATTGCAAACTGAAAGCACAAAACAGAAATGAATGCAAATGTATGGGAGACATGAGCATGTGCATGGTAATTGAAACCACTAGAGAAAATGAGATTTCTCCCAGGGAGAGCAAGTACATGGAGAAGAGAAGGGGTCTGATGACAGAATTTAGAGAACCCAAAGACGAAACGTCTAAATCCAGGAAGACAGATTCACAAGTGAAAACAAGAAGAAATCCTTAGAGAAACAGGAGGACGCATGAAGCCACCCCACCAGCCTCTGCCTGAATAGGATATTTTTTTTAGAGTAGGATCATCTGCTTGAATTAATTACAATAACATCAAAAGGGCCACCATTCCTACTGATACTTCCAAAAGTAGGGTGATCATATTTTATATCCAAATCAGGACATCTTGGGGAGTGTTAAGAGGGATTACTAATTACGTGGAAAGCCAGACAGAACAGCAAGATAAGCAAACCGCGCAACCAAACTAGGATGTACCACGTGGTTAGTGCATCTCGTTTTCATGCGTGATAAAGCCACCCTCACTGAACATTATTCCACCCATCACAATATAAAGGTAATGGTTGGGCATGAGAGTACCAATATACACACAAGTATGCCTAAAGGGAAAAAAAAAACCTTTCTAATAAATGTTCTTCCAGAAACTAGTGTTTGTTTTAAGATAGGACTCACTGATAACTGGGTGTCAGCAATTACGCATGGGTGGAAGATCTAAGAATGGGTAGCCCAGATCCTCTGAAAATTTTAATCCCTAAAGACATGGCAGGTTTGAAAGAAAGAGGTTAAAATCAGACTCCTACAACCACACAGAGATTTGGCATCATTTTTTTTTAACAACTAACACAGTTTCATACAGCAACAAAAGTGGTTCCCAAATAAATCTGAGCGATACTGTGTTAAATAAAGATTTATTAAAAATGAAAGAAAATTTAAAAAAAAGATTCATAGATATTTTTCTCATTGGTTTCTAACCCTAGAATTTTGCAGAGACTTTACTGTGTTAATACACAACGCGGGATGAAATCCCCTGAAACAGCATATCCTAAATGTAATTAACCTAAGAATCTTCCTTTTCTCAGACCCTCTCTTGGGGCTTAGCCTTCTATGGAAAACTCTTAGAGAATACTGGAGAAGGCACTAATAAATGCTCATTGCCAAAGCCATTTTCCACGTGTAATTGAACGAGCACTTGCCCAGGTATGGGAGGATACTGGGGTTGACCTGGCTCTACAATATTGGGTGTGATCCTGGTCTATCGTCTGACTTCCCAAAGCCTCAATTTCTTTACCTGTAAATTCAGGACTTCTGACTAGATCAACTCGTAGGTAATGTTTAGCTCTAAAATTACATGGTTTTATGATCTGGATGCCTAACCAGGACCTAGATGTCTCCTAAACAAATTAACAGTTTCCATCGGGGGATTCTGGTCCTCATTTGCTTCTTAGGAGACAGAGAAGCCCTCAGCTGCATTGACTGATGGTGACTCACACCCCAGGGGTGAGATTATTTTTTGTTATCTCGTGATAAACACCCTCTTGTCATAATCTGTATCTTAATTTAGGTCACTCTCCCGTTAATTATGATGTCTATTTCACATCAATTAAGATACTGTGACATAAATTTGCCAGGACAGTTAGTTCCTCAGCTTGATGGGCATTTTGTTTTTTAGCATCTTCTCTAAGGTTATTTCCAGCATCACAGAATCTAAATCTGGGCCCATCTTCTCCTGAACACTGTGCAACCTGAGAAGAATCACCTCTCAAGGTGGCAATCTTTTCAGAGAAAAGGAAAAACTGGCAGGTATTTCCCTTTGAAAAGGATGGTTCAGAGGAGATGTAATGAAGTAAGCTGGAAAAGTAAACATAGGAAAATGTAGCTTGGTAAGAAAATGATTTTTTTTACTTTTAGTATTTACAGCTAAATCTCTGAAATAATCTCCAAGGGAAGCCCGAAAGTCAATAATTATTTAAATTTCAGTTGGTCAAAGTATTCAGGAACAAACTAAAGAGGATGCTCTTTCCTTGGTCCCCAGAAGTACTCTGTATCTCTCCCGTCTCTGACACTGTTCTGACTGTGACACTAATATGCAAGTAACTCCTTCAAGAACAAGAACATAGGGAACCCAGTATAGGTCCAAAGTCAGTGGCGGTCATGAACTTCCCTTAAGAAGAACTAGCACTTATTTTCCAGGAAGCCCTCTGTGCTTCATTTACATTCTGATCCCCTGGCCCTACAGGAGCAGGGAAGTCATCTACAGCCTAACGTCTATCATGTAGAAACCCACACTGAGGCAAGTATTAGAGAATCACATAAAAAAAACCCTCAGATACTATACAGCAAACAGTATAAATTTATGTCACCTCTTTTTCTGGGAGAGACCCTAAATAGAATAAAAACCCTATGGACAAAATGTTGATGCCGAAACTTGACAAACCACAGATGCACAAAGACAATATGGAATCAAGCTATTTCATATTTCTTGTGAGGTTAGAGTAAATTAACCTAAAATTATTAGGTTTATTATTGAACCAGGTTTGGATTGGTATGGATAATCGGTACAGATAATAATGCTTAATTACAACCAAGTAAGAATTCTGCAAGCTACTCGGGGGGTTCATGATTTATACAGACTCATAACATTGAACTCTTGTGTATGGAATTTTATCATAAGTATCACCATTCTTACAAATGAAAAGCTCCTCCAACTTTTACCAATTAAAAACAAGATTCACTAAAGAACGCTACTAAAATGACATATCCTGGATCACCAGGGGGCCCAGCACATATGATTCTGTTCTGATGGGCAATCTACAACACAATCATACTAAGTCACTTACCTCATGAGCAAAATGACCAAGTAACAAGCTGTCAGTGACTGAAGTATTCGCATCACTTTCCAAGACGTCAATTCCAAAATCTCTGCATGCATAAACCTGGAAGTTTTTCAGGTGAAGATTGCTACTTCTAAAAATCTATAAAAATAACAGCATATGTTATGTCAGTGGTCTGAGGCTCGCCTTTTCTCACAGACTTCCTGCAGCTTCTTCAATTATTAAGTTTAAATAAGCATGCGATACCATATTTACAAGCTTTTGTCCATCAGGATCAGTACAGGTGTCCCCAAAATTGCCGTGAGGTCAGCACTAACTAGTCCCCTTTGGTAACATCCCCTCCATACTTTTCAATTCTCCTCCTAACAACTGATGTATTAAAAAGGTCAGTGTGAATTTTTCACGTATCTAAAATAAGCTCACAACAGTCAAATCACACAAGATTAATGGAGAAAAACAGAGCATCCCAGAACTCCAGGACTGATCATTTTCCTCAGCGTTGTAGATGTTAACTAATATCGTCGGACAATTGCAAATAGGAAATAAGTGATTCAGCATGACTACAGACTCAAAATACGTTCTATGCATGTATACTGATGACAACTTGTGTTAGTGGCCCCAAACAAGGATCAAGTATTAACGAAAAGAGCTTGTTAGAGCCGAAAGAATCACTCTAGTTTGGGGGACAGAGCTGTTGGTTTTCACCTAGCACTGGTGTTAACTAATTATGTGATCCTGGGCAAGGCATTTAACTTCTCCTGGGCCTCAGTTCAACCATCCTTAAAATCAGAGTGGAGGTCAGGACTAGCCATTAACCTCACACAGCCATCCCTTTATTTATTAAATAGGGTCATGTTTACGTTCATGTCTTAAAGTGGAAGTTTCCTATTAATTATGGCCAAGGTGGCCTTGATTTACCGTAGTCTCATGCTTCTACCTGTCAATCAGTCTTTGTGCTTGAATTTTCAAGAACTGAATAGCTTGCATTTCTGACAGCTTTTATAAAATGATAGATCTTTGAAGACACGAAGGTTTATGTAAACAAAACAGGTATGATCTAAACTGATAACTTGACAACAGTTGTTACTGAATTATAGGCGTCAGCCCAAGTTCTGGTAAATAGACTCATATTCAGAAACAGCTAACGCCTCGCATTAGCGAGAGAGCCTGGTAATTTTAAAAGGAAACCAACACAGTAGCAGAGAACCCCTATTTGTGGTGTGAATACTGCTTTCACAATGTGTTCTCATCCCTCTCCTCTCGTCTAAAAGAACTGCTGTGCATTTAGGAGACATGGTCAGGAGAGGGTATTTTTTTCAATTCTTAACATACGTAGGGAAGCATCAGCTTGCCTGAGTTGGAATCCAGCAATTCTTACTGTGTGACTTTAGCAAGTATTCTGTCCTCTGCCTGGAGAATTTTCTTATCTACAAACACAAGACAATCATGGTGCACCTCCTCCAAATATTATTAAGATGATTAAATAACAAAATATCCAAAAATTTTAGCTACCAGTCTCATCACATAGATATAAATCTATGTTTATAATCAATAGGAATTTTACCTAATGAAATGTTCAGTTCAAGTATCTGCACAGGTGACACGTGTATCTAATGCCCAGAATACAAAACACACTAGATATGTCTAATAATGGAAGCATATGAAATTTAAATACAAGGTACTTTTTGATGATGAAGAAGACACGTCTCAATGTTGTAGATTCCAGGGGCACCATTATCACCATTGACCTATCACCACCCCAGCCTGCTTACTAACAACCATCATAAGAGCCCCTGCCAATGTGCACCTATGAAGACCCAGGTACCCCTCTGGGCATTTTACCTGCAGGCACTTATTTAACTCTCAAAACTTATCCTCTAGGTACTATTACTACGTCCATTTTATGAATGAGACAACGAAAAATCAGGGATTTGGCAAAAGTCACCCAGATAGGGAACTGGGAGCATTTGAGAGTTATATGGCTATATACGTAGGAGGTCACCTTTGGTGTTTTTTAAACAGCTTTACTAAGATACAATTCACATATCATACAATTCACCTATTTAGAGTTTACAATTGAAAGGGTTTAGTATATATTCACAGATAACATGCAACCATCACCACAGTCAATTTTAGAACATTTTCACTTCAAGAAGAAATCCCCACAGTCTTTAGCCTGAGCCACCACTAATCTTTCTGTCTCTGTAGAGGTCCCTATGCTGGACTCTTCCTATGAGTAAAATCATATCCAAGTGGTTTTTGATGACTGGCTTCTTTAGCTTAGCATATTGTTTTCAAGGTTCATCCATGTATCGGCCTTAATTCCTTTTTGTGGCAGAATAATATTCCATTGGATTGATAGACCACACTATATTCATCCATTCATCTATTGGTGGATATCTGGGGTGTTTTCACTTTTCGACTATTATGAATAATGCTGCAATAAACATTTGTGTATGTTTTTCTGTGTGTATATATATTTTCATTCTCTTGGATATACGCCTAGAAGCAGAATTGATGGATCATTTGGTATCTTTATGTTTAATCATTTGAGGAACTTCCAGACTGTTTTCCAAAGCATCTAGACCATCTAAAATTCCCACCAGGGATGCACAAAGGTTCTGATTTCTCCACATCTTTGCCAATACTTGTTATCGTTTTAATTCTAGCCATCCTGGTGGGTTTGAAGGCATATCCTACTGTGGTTTTGACTGGCATTTCTCCAATAACTGATTATGTTGAACATCTTTTCATAGGCTTGTTGGCCATTTGTGTATGTTTTCTGGAGAAATTTCTACTCAGACCCTTTGCTCATTTTTAAATTAGGTTATCTGTCTTTTTGTTGAAGTGTAAGAGTTCTTCACATATTCTAGATTCAAGTCCCGTATCAGCTATATGATTTGCAAATATTGTCTCTCGTTCTGTAGGCTGTGTTCTCACTTTCTTGATGGGGTCCTATGAAGCATAAATTTTTTTAATTTTGATAAAGTCCAAATTATCTCTTTTTCTTTTGATGTCATACCTAAGGAATCTTTCCTAAATCCAAGGTCATGAGCATTTACCCTTTCTTTGTTTCTAACAGTTTTCTAGTTTTTGCTCTAACTTTTAGGTTTTTGAGTTAATTTTTGTAAATAGTATGCAGTAAGGATTCAATATCATTCTTTTGCACGTGGCTCTCTGTTGTTCCGGCACCATGTGTTGAGACGACTACTCTCTCCCTCAGTCTTGGCATCCTTGGCAAAAGTCAGTGGACTGGAGATATATGCGTTTATTTCTGGACCCTCAGTTCCCTTCCACTGATCTATATTTCTATTCTGGTGCCCATACGACAGTCTTGATTATAACTGCCTTGTAGTGACTTTTGACATAAAGAAGTATAAGTCTTCTTCCATTACTCTTTGTTCTTAGATTTTTTTTTTTGGAGGAAGTAACTTTTTAAATTTTAAAGTGTTAAGTTCCAGAAGCATTTTTATTGTTTGAACTTTCTGATTGCTAACACCGGAGTGTGCCAGGGTCCGAGCTTTAAGGATCGACTTTTTCTTTTATGGGTTTAACACAGCTAATGGCAGAGCTTGAGAAAACTAACTTTAATGATCATCTTTTAATATTTTCATTTTATGAGGTTATTTCCTCTAAAATAAAGCCATTCAAGAGCATGGAGACAGAGCTTAAGCCTCTGCAAGGCGTGAATTGCTTCTCTGCAGAAAAGGGCAGTCAACAAACGTTTCTGCTGTATTCGTTACCCCTATATTAATAGTGCTTCTGGGAAACAAAGTACTTTATCAAATTTAATGAGAACAAAATACTTAATGCAACAGCACTTCTGTGTGTTAGCTAACCCAATTTTATATTTTGGGGTTTTCCCCATCCAAAATTGTTTTCCTCATGTTGGAAATGTGAAATAAATCCCTAACTTTCTTAATGCGACTTAATTCTATGTTTTCCTCCTATTTTCTGAAAGCCCTATAGACATATTCCTTCTCTGTGTATCTTAGGCTCCATTTTTCTATGTGGCAGAGACCAAATGTCTGCAGTGTTCTCTGTGTAGCGGCAAACAGAGGCCCTGGAGAATCTGTGAATGTTGTTGGTAATAGTTAGCATGCAAAGCCTTCTTAAAAGAAATCAGTGAGATAATAAAAAGCAAATGATTGAAAGTGAACACTTTTCCCTTTCAAGGAAAACAGAAAAAAAAATGTGACCCATTGATAAAGCTAAGAACGCCACCTTGAGCTGGAATTTTTTTGTGTTCCAATGATGGACAGCGCTTTTCCTTAAGACTGAAGCACGTACTATTTAGGACATCAGCGCATCAGGTGTACAGCATCTGGATCTGAATTCTGCACCCAGTTGTGTTGCTAACTGTGTGAACGCTGGCAAATCCCTTTACTCTCCGTGTCTTAGTTTTCTCCTCTATAAGTGAGCATGTGAGTGGAAAGATTAGAAAACCTCTATCATCCTTTGTGGTTGTAAATCTCTACGATTCTGTTGTTCCCTACTAGAGCTGCTGAAAAGTAGCTGCAGAGGACGTGAACTAACCTTGCGCTACTGACTAGGAAACTGTTCACTCAGCAACTATCTCCCTCGCAGCTGCGCTGCTGTTGGCTCCTTACAGCCGTGATAACGTGGCATGCCTCCCCTCAGCAGCAAACCATCCCCCTTTAAGTAGATACGCGTAATACATCGCCATGAGAAGACAAACTGGTTCTAACAAAAAAAATTAAACCAACGCACCTGGGCACCTCCTGCGCTTCCCCAAACCGTGAAATTTTGGAACAGGGCGGGGCCAGCACAAGGATCCCACGGTGGCTGAAATTTAGGGTAGACAAAGAGACCACACCTAGGAGGAAAAATCGAGAGTGAAATTTAGCCAATTTCTGCATTTCCAATGTCTCACTTTTTCTCCTTGGCAAATATAAACATAAAGGTACTGTACAAGGGAGAGTGGAGGTGACACCTGTGACCTTCTCTCTGGCCGTCACTGCCATCCTCCCGCCTGTCCTTCTGTCACCTTCCGTGACCTGCTCCTGGATCTCAGCAGGATGCAGACAGCCATGGCCCCATTCCATTCTGTCAGCCCTTCCAGACTCACCTAGGAGCCCAGACACTTTCACCTCGCCCAGAGCACCATCCCTGTGCTTCCACTGGTTTATTCTAGACCTTCCCCCTTGCTGGGGAAGTGCAAGCACCCGGGATCCCTCCAACTTCCGTTCTCCCTGAAATTCCCACCACAGTGGCGTTCTTCCCTCCCATTCCAGGGCTGCTGAGAGCTACCCGATAAAAACTTCATAATCTTAGGAGTAATTTCATGACGCATGTACTAACCCCAGCCTCAGCCGGCACTTCATGGCACAGCCATCGTGCTCAACCCTTATTCCTGACTCCTTATCACTTCCCATCCCTGAAGGATGATTTTACTGTTATCATCATAATTATAATCATCATTATTGATACTGATTATTGAGTTCCTACTATAGGTGTTCTCATAGGTGCATTATGTAAGTCATCTCTGATTTTCACATCAAACTTTCAATATAGATCTGTCCCTGCTTTACAAAGAAGGGATTTGACTCTCTTAAAAAAAAAAACATACATACACACACACACAATTTACTCAGACAAAGTCCGGATTTGAAACAGCCCTAAAGATTCTAGGGCCCAGATTTTTCCCGTGTTCCCACCATGTTTCCCAGCCCTTGCTCTTAGAAGATGACCTTGTCCTCTATGTAACAAAGACTTTGAAGTAGGCGCTTCTCACCTCTCAGTGTGCAGCTCACAGGCAAAGAGCCTCTTCTCCAAACCTCAGCTCCCCATTCAGCCCACCAGCCCGGGTGCTCTAGCCTCCCAGTTGTCACCAGTCTCCTGGAAATTTAATCCATCTCCCCATTGAATTCTCCTCTGGCCGCCCAAGGTGCGCTCTGTCCCATGCCCTCTCAGGTGACCTCTCTCTTTCCCCTCCCTTCACCACCAAACTCATGATCCAAAATGCTCGCTCAGGCCCACCATCAAATCTCACATGGATGCCAAACACGATACAACCCTCTCTGTGAGTGCCGTACCAAAAAAAAAAGTTAAACCATAAGCCTTACACCCAAAATACGGATGAATTTCCCCAAAGTTACCTGGTACAAGAACGTGCGCTATTGCGGGTAAAGGAGAGAAGTGGCGCTCGGGACGTCTGGTTGGTCACAAGATGAAAGAAGTAGCCATAACCAGCAGCACACACGCTGTTTCCCTACAGAAATTAAGGCACAGTTTGTCCATATCCAGTAAGGCTGCCGGCAGGAAAGACTCTTACCCGTGGTCATTCTGCTTTTGCATCCACTTCCTGTCAAGGTCTACTGATGTTTTTATGAACTCATACACTCTTCCCTTCCCGCACCCCAGGCAAATACGCTCATTCCTCTTCATCCAGGCAATTCAACTGGACTGTCAATTATCCACCTCAATAGCTGGTGTCTCACACGTTAAAACATCCTTGGAAGCTACCACGGTCAGAGGCTTACTTGCATCACCTCACCTAAGGTCCCCTCTTTGGTGTATGAAGAATAAGAGGGGCAAAGGCAGACCTACAGCCAAGTGTACGCAAAGGGTTTCTTCCTGATCCTTTGAGCAAGTCAATGATTTGACTGAACAAACCAGTGAGAGCCAGGGACTGCACCAGCCGTGCCTGAGTTCTGAGGCACAGTGGCTGAGTTCAAATACAACTCGAATCTCCTCCAGGTCCTCTTGTCCCAATTAGACCATTTTAATCACCTGATATCTCTTTATAGGACCAGCTAAACAATTTAATGTATTTTATATGTTTATATAAAACCTAAATTCTCCATCCGATGGTACGAGTTTGGGGCTTTAATTCTGCTCAGACTGAACCCAATGAGATAATCTTTATAAATTCGAAGAAGTATCTACAAATATTCATCACTATGCAAGACACTTTACGACAGAGTAGAAAACCAACTCCCTAGAGTGTAATATTGTACACAGAGGTACTTTGCTTGGCATACCCAATGTTTCTAATTTTTTACTGATGCCAACATTTCAAAATCAGGAGACTTGATATACAAACTCAGACTTAGGGTCTTTTTCTTTTCAAATACTGAGCCCCATTCCTGCGGGGTAGGCATAGATCAGCTGAGCTAAGAAGCACCTGCTCTCTTGGATGAGGGATTACTTTGCCATCATCCCCACCCTCCCTGTTCCATTTATTTGTGATACCTGGCTGGTTCTTATAGGCATTTGAATTTGTAACCTCTTAGATCCAGGCAGTAAAGTAATTGATTCTGTTGGAGTGGAGGGATGAAGGGCCGACAGAGCAGGATGCTGGACCACTTCCTCTGTACTTGTGGGCACCTGTCCTCTCCCACGTCTACCAGGGAGGAGAAGTCAGGGAACAGGATGCCCAAGGCAGCCTCAGCCCTTGTATGACAGGGGTAAAGGGAGCCCCAGATGATTCCATGTGGTTCATCCCTGACCTCCTGGGGGTCTGACGTGGTCTGGCTGGTGTGAGAAAAAGGATGATGGGTGTCCTCTCTGTGAGCATCTGTCTCCCAGGAGCAGACCGCGCAGGACTAGGACAGTTCATCCTGAACACTGGCCTCAGGGCACAGAAGAGAGAATGGGGAGCAGGAAGGACTGTGACACAGCACAGCCCAACAAGGCGTTCCATATCTTTCTCTCTTTTATTGCCCTTTTTCCTTTTTTTTAATTGAAGTATAGTCAGTTTACAATGCTGTATCAATTTCTGATATACAGCATAATGTGTCAGTCATACATATTCATACATATGTTCCTTTTCATATTATTTTTCATTATAAGTTACTACAAGCTACTGAACTATAGTTCCCTGTGCTACACAGTAGAAACTTATTGTTTATCTATTTTATTCATAGTAGTTAGTATCTGCACATCTCAAACCCCCAATTTATCCCCGCCTACACTGTTGGTGGGAATGTAGCTTGATGCAGCCATCATGGAAAACAGTATGGAGTTTCCTCAAAACACTAAAAATATACTCACTGTAGGATCCAGCAATCCTAGTCCTGTGCCTATATCCGGGGGGAACTCTAATTCGAAAAGACACATGCACCGCAATGTTCAGTATCTTTCTATAAAACAGCACTTCAGTGCCCTAGTGGCCTCTATCCAGGGTTTGGTGGGACTATGCCATGTGTCTTGCGAGAATAGTTCCTTAAACTTTAGTGTGCACCCAGAGTAGAGAAGCAAGATTTAGCAAATAAAAACATAGGAGCCCCGTCAGAGTTAAATTTTAAAAAAAAGAAACTATTTAGTTTCATTGATGGTACAAGAGGACTTTACAAAGCCTCTTCCTCTCAGGGATGGCCACGTGTTCCACTAGGAACACCCACGTGTGCACACTCACACAGACACACAGACTTACACGCACACATATGCACTCAGAACGAAGCAAAGTCAATACAGAAGAAAAATGGAAACAGGATGTTTTAAAAACCAACACTACTCAACTCCTGGCTCATGTGAGAGGAAGAGCCAGGGCCCCAGCCCCAGAGGAGGTGTGAGTGAGGATCAGAGTTTACCCCGAGATGAGAAGCCTGGCCGGCGGGCAGCAACCAGAAACTGGCTAGGGGCGCCAGCATGCGCTGATACAAGGGCCAGCGCTGCTCCCGACATCAGCCCATCCATCACTGCGGGCACTGCGGCTCTCTCATCCTGGGGACTTGTCACCCACCAGCCGTACCTCCTCTCTCATTCAGTTCCAGAACGTCTTCTTTCTCTTTGAACTCGTGGCCCATTCTCTACTGCACTTCGTTATTTTGAATTCTGAGCACCTCTTCAATTTCCTGAGGCTATTTAAAATTTTAATCATGTCTCACCACGTGGCATATCACTGACTAGGAAGCTGAAATACTATTCGAGATGCTAACATGACGTCAGAGAACCTGGACGATCTCTAAGGCTCCAGTTACATTGGGGTGGCAGAGTCTGGAGCTGTGGTTGTCAGACGGGGCGATGCTGTTCCCCAGAGAGCATTTGGAAATCTCTGGAGACAGTTTTGGTTGTCACAAGTGAGGGGAGAGAGGGCTTCTACTGGCATAAAGTGGATGAAGACGAAGGATGCTGTAATACAGAAGACGGCCTCTCACCATAAAGAATCACATGGCCCCAAACACTAATCCTAGCATGGTTAAAAAAAACCCTGGTCTATAGTCTACACTCGTTCTTGAAACAGCCCATCCCCACCTTCCAGTAGCCCATCCCCAAATCTAATGGAAAGACCAACCTCAATACAAAAACACGGTTAATTACAAAGCAATACTTTGACAGTTTCTACCAGGAAGGCACTCCCCAAAGAAACGCTTATTAGCATCGAATCAGTTAGCTCCATTTCCATGCTAGAAGAGAAGACACATGCCCCTGATTCTCAGCTTTGGAAGAATCATTGTCACTGGGTTGGCAAATACAAGAGCCCAGTGTATCTCTTCAGCCTTCATAGAAACACAAGGAAGTAACACGGCTGTTGATTCTTAGTTCCGATTACATAACTGGGACCTTCCTCAGGGCAGCACCTGTGAAGCCCCACCACCCACATCGCCTGCATTGGTGGCTGGGACTCTTCCACACCCGTGAGCCATGGGAAAGGCCATGCGTGTGTAAGAGCTGAGGGTGAGGGACGCTCACCTTTTCTGCAAGCATGCAAACCAAAGAGGCACTGGCGGCTACCCGCGATCACCTCCCTCGGATGTACACCTCTGTTTCATTACCAATGAAATGCTAATTCATCACCAAGGCTCTACCAGGCAGGAAGAGATTCAAACATTTTCGGAATATAATCCAAGGGCTTCATCCTTATCCATCACCTTGGTCAGACAGGGGCTCAGAGAGCCTGTATTTCGAGCAAATGAATAGATTTGTTGAATCACTTGCCCAGGTGTTGTGCGTATTTGTGGAGCACCTGAGTGATCACACATAAAGGCTTTCCAAGCGCTTTTATCACCGGGCAGGATATTGCGACTTCATCTTCTGTCAGCCGATCGGGCTCACTTATGAAAGAAGCGCTTGAGCAGTTGGATCACACTACTCCCCAGCTCTTTTCACTCTCCACCCCAATCGGGTATGCCAGAAGTCACTCATGAGGAGGAACCACGTCGGTACGCGGGCTGCCCGCGGCTGCTGGGGAAGGGTTTAAGGCAAGTAGGGAATTTTGTGTGGAAATCAATTCTTTGCGGAAACCGATGTATTATGGTCATTCAAGCAGGAGAAATTCCAGAAAGAAATTAACTGCCCATGTAAGCCAGCTCCTTGAGGTGTGCATCTATAGTCACTTAAAAAAAAGTGAGTTAACCCTTCAGGCAGCTCTTAAATATACATTAGCTATTGCGTAGGGAGAGCTGGGGAGCTGAGAGTGGCCTTGAAACACAGAATTCCTTACAAAATTGATTTACAAACCAGAACAAATTCGCCTCAAATTAAATGAATGTTTCCAAAGTGCTGGTCTTCAGAGTTTTTCCACTGGCTGTCCTACACAGGGATCAGGTCCTGGGAAATTCTCAATGCTCACAGACACATGGGATATTCTGGAGCTTTGGGAGGGGACAGTCCCTCGCTGGTTGAGAGCAAAGACCTCCCAACCCGAGGTCGACACAGATTATGTCTACTGGAAAGATGAAGCATCTGGACGGATGACCGGGAAACGCCATGAAGGAGTTAGAGCCGCGGATGCTCGAGAGCGGAGGGGAGACAGCCTGGAATCGAAGTGGTCCGGATGCCACAGGTGCCGCACGCAGGGACCACCACCGATCTGTTGCTGGAAAGCATGGCAACGCCCATCTAAGGAGGATGCAAGGGGTACCCCAAGGCCCTCGGACACTCCAACAGGAACATCACACTGAGTCCTCACCAGCAAGAAGGCACAAAGCTCAGGTTTTGCTTCTATGAGAAACTGCCCTTGGACTTAGCTCAGCGGCACCCTGGGCAAGGAGGCAGGCAGCGCACTTGTGACTGTGAAGACTAAAAAGGAATATCGCATTTGAAATCCCCCTGTACAGGCGGGGTTGAAGGTGACTGAACTGAGGACCGGGAGCCAAGGTGAATTCCATGCACTGGGCAGAGCTTTTGGTCCTAGGCTTTGGGTCAGGACGACTGGGGGACAACATACAAGCACAAATCACTGCAGAGACCTAATTAAGGATCACTTCCGTTTCTTCCCGCCTGCCCGCCAGGCCAGAGATTTCAAGGTCAATGTGTGTATATAGAAGAGGCAGTTTAGGCTTTCTGGGCTAGTTGCCCAGTGGCTAGGATTAGGTCACCATCAAGTCTAAGCAAGGGCTTTAGTTTACTTAATAGTATTGCCCTGATGTCACTTGCTTGGTAGGACTATCTCAATGTCACTTTCCTGGTGGGACTGTCCTGATGTCATTCTCCTGTAATATTGTTCCAATGTCACTTTGCTCTTGCTCTGTGGCAATGGTTATGATTATGTTACCACTGAAGGAAGGACACACAGGAACTCTGTTTTGTTTTGTTTTGTTTTTTTGCAACTTCTGAGTCTAAAATTATTTCAAAATTAAAAGATTTAAAAAAAAGAAAAATCTTAGTGAATCCTCGTAATACAGTGGCTTTAAAAAAAATACTCTGCCAAACTGCAAGAAAACTGAAAAGCAAGGCAGGAGAAAGGGTCACAAAACCTGAGGACCTGCCAGATGTCCTTGGTTCCATCTCCTTTGGGGGCAGTTCAACTCTGAACCCCTCACAGAGCAGGACAGAAAAGCCACCACACATGAGATGGTTCCTCACAGTAAGGAACATCTGTCTCTTGAACATCAGAACAACCCCGGAGGAGGGCAGGTGTCTCCACCGCTCCTCTTTCTGTTCCTCATCTCACACACACACACGCACAAACACACACACGCACACACCACCCCCGTCACTGTTGTCACCTCCTTACTATCCCTTTGGAGTGAAGATATATTTCTAAAATATACTTTTCAAAGTACTCTGTGTCATGCACGTAGGACACACTTAACAAACACTAACTTACTGATTGCTCAGTGACTGAAAGGACCTTCACTGGCACAAAGGGTCAAGAGAAGTTCCTGATTTTTTTTGAACACGTATTCCCAGTTATGCAAAAAGAACTGCAAGCCAAGGTGCTGGCCCAGGAGACTGCAGACCCAAAGGAGAAAGAGAACTACTCTCCCACGACGCTCCGACCCCTCACCCGCCGCACAGTCGCGGTGGCTAAGCCCCTCAGAAAGGCTGCGCTGACGCCCCTACAGATGATTCAGGAACAGGCAGCATCCCCAAATGCCGAGATCCATATCATGAAGGAAAAAGGCCAGAAGAGAAAGCCTGGATGCCTCTGAACCAGAGGAGAAGGCTGAGGACTGCTGGGGGTTACGGATCAGCCCAGAGCTACTGGCCCAGGGCACCAAAAAATATTATATCTGCTGAATGAAGGTTCAGCCCGGGATTTGTGCAGCCTGCAGCGCACTGGCCAAAAAAGTCCTTGGTTGTGGCACATTCCAGACAAGAGAACACGAGAGAGAGACGGCACCGCGGAACAGCAGTGGCACGGCTGGAGACCTGGAGTGGACTGTGCACAGGTTAACACCGAGGGATGACCTCCACGGTGTCAGAATGCTGATACAGACAACACTGCTGATTTTTCAATCATCAAAATGATTGCAGGGTTGTGGAATCTATGCTTTCTTTTCCTCTTTCTTCCCCCACCCCATTCTTTGATTATGGAATTATACCTACCTTCATTCATTCATTCATCACATTGAATTAATTTTTATTGAACGACTACTACATGTCAGGTGCCGACCTAGGATCTAAAAGCCAATAAGCTAATGAAAAGAGAACCACAGAATTTGAAGATCATCGAAGACAAAATGTCAGATAGAGACCTGATAAATGTACTTACGGAACCTACATCACCACCTTGGACTAAAACCTCATTCTCAAAACACATGCATGGAACTTTGTTTCCAATTCTGTCAAGTGGGCATAAGAGGGAGAAAGTAAATGAATGGAAATGGGAGGCGTCTAACCGGGAACAAAGAGCTTGTTTTGGGCTCAATTTTGTCATAGCTGACTGGGCACTGTTCCACGGTCAGCCTGCAAGGCTCAGGTGACCTACCAGCTCGTGGGTGGCCCTCTGGTTGTCTGCACTGACAGCCGCCTCATTTCTTATGATCAGCCAGCAGCCTGGACGCCCACCCTGGAGACGCACTACCCAGAGAAGCCATGCCAGGCGGCATTGCTGGCATTCAGTGTGGGATTTAGATACCTTCCAGCCTCGTGCAGGAAGGTGAGCTGAGAAACCTTGAGGGTCTACTTTCTTCCAGGTATTTCAAAGGAGCCAAGACTATGCTATCCAAGTCCCTTAGTCCCCAGAGCTTGTTGGCATAGCTCGCAGCAGGCCCTGTGGTCGCCAGCGAGTTAAATGTCGCTGTCCCTGCACCGGGTCTAGAGTTTAGTTTCCTTCAGTCCATGGGGTTCTGCCTCCCTTCTTCACTGGCATATTAGCGGCCCCTATTAGGCACCTAAAATAGTAAATGCTGTGCTTGGAAGAAACATAATTAAAAGTCTGGAGGAGGCTTGAGGAGATAACCAAGACTTTCATTAGGGGTTATTCAGCTGAAGGTAATTAAAAACAGATGATCAGAGAGAGAGAGACGTTCATTCTCTGAGTTCCTCAGAAACTTGGCAAAATTGTCATGACACAGCAGATCCTCAGAGGACCATACTGAAGAGTGAGGCCCTTAACCCTTTCATAGACGGCCCATGGGACAAAATGATTGGAAAGGGAGACACTAAGCTATCCTACTATTCTGATGCAATTCCTCATTCACAGATCTATGGTTAAGCTACCAGAAAAATTAATTTCTTAAAGTGTTTAGAGATAAATTCAGCAAGGAAAAGAAATGTTAAATTGTACTAAACAATAGGGTAAAAACCAAGACTGTCAGAGTGGACAGTTGACCCTTGGATGACACAGGGGTTATGGGGGTTGACCCTCCATGCAGTCAAAAATCTGCATATAATTTATAGTTCATCGTCTACATGTGCAGTTCCTCCGTGTCCATGATTCCCCATTGGTGAATTCAACTATCCACGGACAGTGTGACAGTGTAGTATTTACTATTGAAAAAATCCACGTATTAGTGGACCTGGGCAGTTCAAACCTGTGTTGTTCGAGGGTCAACTGTACTTTGCTCATCCTGGAATCTGACACGATCTCATACATCTCATGACTTGGCTGACCCTCAGTTTTGGACACTCTTAAAGAGCAACCATATGACCACATCAGTAGAGTAACTTGAAGATTTAATAAGTAATTATTGGAATTGAGACCAAATTCAGCAACTGTCGCAGATAGCTCAGGAAGACATTTTAGTTTGCGTTAGTCTAAATGACCAGAAAATCATCAATATCTACTTTGTTTCATTTCATCTAGATATGGCTCCAGAGAGCGTTCACAGAGAGAACTGACTGCATTTATCCTAAGGAAGCGTTTAACCCAATATCATAAAGGAGTTTCTCACTGCCAACATGCAGCAAGGAAACGTTTTATACCACATCACTGACACTGCCGCCCGGATAACTTTTGGAGTGAATTTTATCCCTCTCAGCTCTGACCTTCCTGGAGGAGCTGAAGATCTTACCTCCACAACATTGGTGGGATCACGGATGTAGATACCAGAGGGTGCCAACATTTCAGGACTGGAGAGCCCCTCGGCGCCAGAGACATCGATGATCACATTGTTTCTTATCACATTTCCTTGTTCTGACCAGTCTAATTTCAAAAAAGATCAAATAAACCCAGGGATTCAAAACCATAATTAAAATGTACTCAACACTCTTACTTCTAGTAACACAGTCATAGTTCTCACAAAGCATATGTGTACATGTGTCCATATCACATTCAGTATGTTCAACGGACTGAAGACCTCCAACATCCTGCCATCAGGCCTGTCCACAAAGCACACGACAACTTAAGTGTATTGTAATAGATTGAAAACCAATTTCCATATTTACCATTTTCTCCTCCAGGAATGACCTCCCAAGGGATATGCCTTATCTCGGGAGATGCACCTGAGAACAAAAGGTCATGTCAGCTTGTCACATTTCATGCCACCCAGGAAAACGAGGGACACTGCAATACTATTTCTTCTTTTGATGTGGCTTGTTTTTGTGTTTTTATCAATGAACCAGACAGATACAGAACTTTTACATGAACTTTTCAGTTCTAGAGTATCATGGATCAGAAGCTCATTTTATTTTGTTCTGTTTTCCCCCTTTGGGGGGATAATTAGTTTGTTTATTTGTTTGTTTATTAACATTTTTATTGAGTTATAGTCATTTTACAATGTTGTGTCAAATTTCAGTGTAAAGCACAATTTTTCAGTTACACATGAACATACATACATCCATTGTCACATTTTTTTTTGCTGTGAGCTGCCACAAGATCCTGTATCTCCTTCCCTGTGCTATACCATATAATCTTGTTTATCTATTCTGCATATGCCTGTTGGTATCTACAAATTTTGAACTCCCAGTCTGTCCCTGTTTGTTTTAATGGAGGTACTAAGGATTGAGCCCAGGACCCCGTGTATGCTAAGCATGCACTCTACCACTGAGCTATACTTTCCCCCGCAACAGAAGCTCATTTTAATAAAAAAAAATTATAATAATAACAAAGAAATAGATCTACTGCTTCACTTCTTAGGAAGAGTCTGACTGTCTCTAGAGTCACACACCCCTGTGTCAGCTCCAGCCACACCCCTACCTGTTCAAACTGGCCACCAGCCATCTACCTGCCCCTCACTTTTCTCAGAAGATCTGGACTGTCCTGGAGGAACAGGCTGGGCAGTACTGAGACCCTCACACTTAAACCAGAGGTTTGAAATAGAAGAGAATAAAAGAGCATGGGCCACGTTACAGAGACAGATCAGCCTCTTACGTGGCATCAACACAGAGCAGCCCCACAGACCCCCTTATTTTCTAGGTCTTCAGGCATCTGGGCTTCCCACGTCATTTCCTGAGTCTGGGTTTGCAAACTCGTTTAGCATAGATTGAGTACATTATCTAAGATGCATTAACAGGTATTCTAATTCCATCACCTGCAATGCAGTAGATGTCATGAGCCTCCAATTCACAGTATCCAAGCACCAAAGGCCAAATTCCTCCCGTAGGTTTTCCTCCTTGCCCAGTGAATGCCTACCCTATATCACTGTTTTCTCCTAAAATAATACCATTAGGGTACCTTTCTGAATTTCTGCTCCAAGTTTCAACAAGCTTTTCCCTGACATCAACTAAAGTAAGAATAAACAAAGTCAGCCTTCCATGTGTTAGCTTGACTCCTCTGCAGCTGTCCTCTCCCAACCAAAAGATTTTCCTCCACCTGATCATTCTATCATCCCTAGCTCTTTGCCTTTTAGAGCTGGAGTTAGTTTACATGAGCCATATTTTCTCACTGAACAGTTCCCCTCTCAGGATTAGAATCTTTGTAGCTTTTATCTTAATGGATCGGTCCTCAGTGAAACAGGCACATTTTTCCACTGATGTTATATCACAGAATTTATTGAAATATAAATACAGAGTCTAACTTTCAGTGAAAACCTCTGATTTGCTTTTTGTTCAGATATAACCAAAGACCCTTTGTTCATTAATACATTCATTCCTTTAGATAAATATATTTCCAATGCACTAATGTGCTAAGTGTTAAGTGAAATCTGGTGGTAAAACAGATGTTAATCAGATGATCAGAAACATGATATATAATTTTAAATCAATAAGTAACAATTAATGCTAAAAGAGCTTAAACAGAGGAATTTGACTTGGGAGTGTGGGGGAGAGACTCTTACAGGAGGAGAGTGAGTGGTATGAATGGCGGGAAAGGGCTGTGCAAAGGCCCTGAGGTAGGAGAGCATATGGTCTTTTGAAAGAATTAAAATGACATAGGTCAGTGTAGTTAGTGTTCAGAGGGAGAGAACAGGAGCAAGACAAGTGTACGAAGTTAATAAAGGCAGAATCACTGAAGGAGTCTTTTAATTAAGATTTAGGATTTTGGATTGTATCCTAAGAGTAGTAAGAAATTCTTACAAGGGTTTTAAGGAGAGAAGTAACATGATGCAATCTGAGATTTTTAAGGATAATTCTAGGCATTGCAAGGGGGATGAACTTTAGGAAACAAAAGTGCATATAGGTGACCATTTAGAAAATTCTGAAATATGGGCCTCTTCAGCAAGCCAGAGGAGGAGCTATGAACAGAATTCAGCATGTTTTACTCTTTGTCCAACATTCGGGTTTGAGACTGTACAAAGACATATTCACATGACTTTGAATCATTGTGAAAATTGCTGACAATAAAGTTTAAAACCTCCCATTGTATATTTACTAACCTGAACTGAAATGCTGTCTTCAACAAGCAGTTTCCTGCTGGGGAAGATTAGTTAGCCAATCAGTGATGACTAAATTTACAATGAGAATTTTTAACTGTGACCTGTTTCTAATGATCAGAGGCTAAAGTTTGCACAAATTGGAAATTCAAGTTTCAGGACAATTCCTTATAAAAAAACACGTGTCTTATACCAGAATGCCAATATTAAACAAACTTGTTTCACTTACCCACCAGCAGTGCGTGGCCTAAAATATTGTAGAACACATTGCTGTCCACCCTCAGGCCCGAGGTCCTGGACATGCTGAGGCCTCTGCTGAAGGAACACCGCACTGTGCAGCCCTGCATATAGGAACCTGAACAGGAGAGGAAAAGGTGAAAACTAGAAAGGGACCTCAAAGTTTCCTCAGATTCTGCTGATCACCTCCAGAGCAAGCCAGAATATAACCGAGAACATCCGCCCACACAGTCATTAAACTTAAAGGATGAGGAGTTGGCACCAGAAATCTAATAAAGAAAATGGGCAACTTGGGCCACTGTACCTCAAAGATACCAAAGATAAGTAGGCTGGAGTTCAAGGGCCACAAAATGAGACACAGAACCATCTGAGACAGGATGGCCAAACCACAAAGGCTGTCACGAATCCCCACTGGCCACCATCATTGGTATCTACTCTCAACACAATATGGGGGACAACAGCGCGAGAGAAGTTAAGAACAATGTGAAGAGCACTACTTGTGGGCCAACCCTGATCATTTTTTTCCCTTAAATTTTATCTTTTTATATATTTATTTTTTTGTTTGGGGGGAGGTAATTAGGTTTACGTATTCATTTTTTAATGGAGGTACTGGGGATTGAACCCAGGACTTCATGCATGCTAGGTGTGCTCGGCATGCTCTCTACCACTGAGCTATACACTCCTCACCAACCCTGATCTTTGAAAGCTGCACCTGGCATGAGGAAGTGCAGTCACTGAGCTGCAAAGGAATATTTTAACTTGCCAGGCAATAGTACCTTTGGCCCAGGATAGTCAGAGATTCTTATTTCAGATTATAAGTAAAGCCAGTGGTTGATCTAAGGACCACACTCTCACCTTTGAATACGGTAGTTTGTGAAATTGAAGCAGAAATACCCTCTACTAAGCTAACAGAAACTGACACCTAGGCAAACCATTACACTGGCTCCACGGGCCTATTTAATGACAGCCCCCCCCAATCAACCTATGTGGACTGGATCAGTCAAGGAATAAATATTTACTGAATATCAACTGTACATTTCAGGAATTGCGCATTGTGCTGGAGATATAAAGATAAATAAAACTGAGTAAATTCTGCACTTGTGTATCTGAAGTCTGATGGAGGAAACTCATGTTAAAATAATAATAATGTATTATTTGGATAATAAAATCATAAATCTTGAGAAAGCAGTTTTGCATTATTTCCAGGTAGTGAGAGATATTATATCAATGTCAAATGTTGGAAGTATTGAAAAAATTACTTCGGTTTATGTAATATTTGACTTTTAGATTGGGACTATTCAGAAAGTTCTCAACTATGATGCCTGCAAAGACACAGGGACCGTAGGTTCCCCTGGATCTCAACTCCTCTAGCACAAATGTCCTCACATCCTTCACCCATAAGTTAACCCACCCACGTCCACTTATGCAGGAAACACTGCATGCTGCAGATTTTCACTGACGCCGGATCTCCACCATGACATCACTCCATCAGGATACACCTGCCCATCTGAACCACTAGTACAGACTGAGGCGTTTACAGGGCTCTAGTGGGTGGAATTCAGGGACTGGTAAACCTCTAAAAGCAGCGAGCATGCAAAGAGTCCAGCACCCTCTAACCCCAGGGACTGGGGACAGCTGGCTACAGAGGTCACGCGGGCCTGTAGGGCATGAAACAATAAAGGATTCTTTGGCAAGCGTGCCAGAAGTTTCTAACCTCTGGGTTAATGTGTTGCCCCCTCCCAGGAAACACATTTGCATTTTAACAGAGATCTACAGGGGATAATGTGTGATTTCAGTGGATTTCAAACTTTTGTTAAGCCCTGAACCCTTTTTCAAATAAAACCTAACATACATCAATAAATAATAGTGCAGCTAGTCAAAGCAGAGGTTGGGCGGAAGGCAGATTAAGTGAATTTTTGAAAAAGGTGGGGAGAGCGGTGATTATGTTCAACAGATAACACATATGTAATTGTGTTATGCTCACTTCTCCTGGAGCTGGCCCCACACCAAACATTGCTCAGCACTATGAGCACCAGGGGACCAAAAAGCCAGAGAGAAAGGCACAAAGATACTGATCATCCTAACATACTAGGGGAAGAGGTGTGTTAGGAACCATCCCCCTAAATTAATGTAAAAAATAAATAAATAAGGTGGATGAGATCTGGAAAATTCGGGTAAAGGGACATCCTTGACATACAGATGATTTGAAATGAGAAAAAAAAAATGCTGCAGCCGACTAGCCAGGACCCTGCCTTCAGTGACCACAGGGTTTATTCTCCTTGCCTGTTGAAATCCCAGC